TCCACATAGTCATACATACATGTAGTCCACATGTTAGTCCACATGTTAGTCCACATGTAGTCCACATGTTAGTCCACATGTTAGTCCACATGTTAGTCCAAGTGTAGTCCACATGTTAGTCCACATGTTCATCCACATAGTCATACATGTAGTCCACATGTTAGTCCACATGTTAGTCCACGTGTTAGTACACGTGTAGTCCACATGTAGTCCACAGTTAGTCCACATGTTAGTCCACATGTTAGTCCACATGTAGTCCACATGTTTGCCCACATGTTTGCCCACATGTTTGCCCACATGTTTGCCCACATGTTTGTCCACATGTAGTCCACATGTTTGTCCACATGTAGTCCACATGTTTGTCCACATGTTTGTCCACATGTAGCCCACATGTTTGCCCACATGTTTGCCCACATGTTTGTCCACATGTTTGCCCACATGTTTGCCCACATGTTTGCCCACATGTTTGCCCACATGTTTGTCCACATGTTTGCCCACATGTTTGTCCACATGTTTGTCCACATGTAGTCCACATGTAATCCACATGGATCCCATGGTAGTCCAGAAAGACACTGCAGACCCAAATGGGACAAACCAAAGCAATAGTTTGTACAATGAAMCTGTAAAGTGGTTTTTGACTCTCGTTTCTGTCTCTGTCTGGTCTTTAAAAGTGTCCCAAGAACCCTTTCTGGCACTGGACAATTGAACAGCGAGGACCCAGTTTGCAGATCCACGTTATGGAWGACCTATTTCAGGGTCTTTATTTCTGTGTGGTCCAGTACCAGCGAAGAGGCCAGACCCTGAACTTCACCCGGAGCATCAACATCTCAGCCATCTGTGAGTCCAGGACCGCCGGTCCTCCAGAAGTCAGAACCGTGTTCTGGTTCCTCTGGTGGAACCAAGCAGGTAAACACTGCTGTCTCCTTTCCTTTCAGATCCAACAACTGTGTCCAAAGTCCCCAGCATCCTCCAACCGACTCAAGACAAYGTCTTCACTGTCAAAACAAGTAGGTTGTCTTCTATCGAGCTCGATCCGATTACCTGACACCAGAACCAGTGGATTTAAAYTTTCACCAGTCCATGAAAGAGGGACAGATATTCTGTCAGACCTGGATGACAGGAAAACAATGGAAGATGTTCTGTCCAACAAAGAACCCAGACTGGAAACCACCTGGTACCAGGTCCAGGTGTTAAAATAACCAGGCTGTGATGATGGTGCTAATTTATCCTTTTTAACCAGATGAAATGTCTAAATGCCCTGCTGAGTCGTCATAAAAACAGGTGCAGGACAGACAGAGACAGGTGCAGGACTAAGGAGCCATAGGCCACCCTTACGTACTCATGTGGCTCTGTCCTCTCCTCTGTTTCTTCAGACTCGGAGGTCCGCCTGGTCTGCAGGGGTCTGATACCTTTTGTCCTGCAGAACCCTTTAAAGGAGATCTGGTGGACAGTGGATGGGAAGACAGTGAGRGAACTGTCCAACGAGCGGTTCTCTCAGAAGAACAGGTGAGGAACAGAAACCTCATTGTTTTAATGAGGACCTGTTTCATTGAAGACTTGTTTTAAAGAGGACTTGTTTTATTGTGGACTTGTTTTCATTAGGACCTGTTTTATTACAGACTTGTTTTAAAGAGGACTTGTTTTGTTGTGGAATTGATTTAACGAGGACCTGTTTTATTGAGGACTTGTTTTAGTGAGGACTTGTTTTATTAAGGAATTGTTTTATTGTTGACTTATTTTATTGACGACTTGTTTTAATGTGGACTAGTTTCATTGTAGACTTGTTTTAATGAGGACTTGTTTTGATGTGGACTTGTTATAATGTTGACTTGTTTTATTGTTGACTTGTATTATTAAGGACTAGTTTCATTGTAGACTTGTTTTAATGAGGACTTGTTTTATTGTGGATGTTTTTTGTGGACATGTTTGGATGAGGACTTGTTTTATTGTTGACTTGT